CATCAGTCTGAAATTACTAAAAGGTTTTCTTTTCCAAATTTTGAGAAAATAAAATTACAAATTGTATATTTACTACTGTCACAAGAATAATGTTGAATGTCATTCAACCTTACTGTATAGACAAATCTTCACATTTCATTATAAGGTGACAGGATAATGTATTAACTGAAATATTTCAACTGTAATGATGATATTAATCCAAGTTGTATGTCTATTTTAACAAATAATTATTTAATATTCATATTTACTATAAATGTCAACTTAAATCAATCATAAATTCATTTTTTTATGCCTGCAGTGAAGTGTGAATGTAGCTATTTTGGATGTTCATTCTTTTCATTTTCTCTTAAATACCAATGAAGCTTGTAGTTAGTCCTTATTTTATTCATTTTTTTTTTTTTTTTTAAATAAGTTGTAAAATCCTCTTGGGTTGTACACAATCTTTTTTTATTGTACACAATACTTTAAGAAATAAAAAAAAAATAGATTTATATACTTAAATATATCATTTATCTAAAATGAAGATAATTAAATTAGTAGTTGAAATTTGTTTTTAATACTTTAAAGTATCAAGAAACCAAAAAGTATCATTCTTTTAATTCTTACATAAAGACAATAAGGATAATATTCTTAGGATAGAAATTAAACGATTTTAGAAACAGAAAAACTTTACAATGAAACCTACATCCATAAACAATAAATTATACTCCTTTTCATTATAGATGTCCATTTTCCTTTTTTCAAATAAAAAGTATCCTTTAGTTACTATTTCAAATTCATTTTTTCAGTTATGATCTAATAAATTGAATCATAACATACACAACTATGCTTATTGTATTTTTATCTCTTATAACAAATTCCATTGAGACATATTTCAAACATGGATTAAGTATTTATATATATATATATATATATATATACTTTATTATAGGATATTCATTCGAACGTATGTAAAACCACTACCTAAATGCATTCATGTTTCAATGCATATCATTGCATTGAAACCTGAATACATTTATGTAGCAGTTTTACATATGTTTGAATATAATATCCAATAATAAAGAATTATTGCTCTACTATTGTATTTTTAAATTAATGTTATGAACATAATTTATATTTGATTTGTTATCATTTCTTTTGGTTTATATATATATATATATATATATATATATATATAAATAGAATAATAATATCCTTGCAAATCATTGTTAACAAATTCATTACCCAAATACACATATTATAGTCATTCAAGTCAACAAGGAAAAATAATAAAAAAGAATATTTCTTACCAGTATGTATAAATGAAAACAGTTTTTTGGGGTTTTTTGTTTTTTTTGTTTTTTTTTTTAAAAAAAAGATAAATAAGTAATGTTTCCTTCCCAAAACATGGAATGTTAAATATAGATAGATAGACGAAATGAAAACTTATCATAGCCAACATGTTTCATCCTCTGAGGGACTTTTTCAAGGGAAATGTGGACGAAATGCAAAGGCAAAGATAAGTTTTGTTTTTGTAGTTATTCATATTGTCATTTTACAGATATACTCAATCTTAAATTGTTACACACACACGAGACAAAATAAACCACTAATACTTTAAGAAGATTCTTGACTACACTGTGAATCTCTTGTATAAATTTTTTTCCCTTTTACACTATCTTTTATTACAGCAAAGTAACATATTTCATTCAATTATTTGGTACTGCACACTACATATTTGCAACTTCTTTTTTCTTATTTTCTTTTTTACACTTCCAATTGTATACTGTAGATTTATAATGCAGTGTATATGTATTAGCCAATTCTTTTGTCTATTGGTTGGTTGTATAAACCTCTTACAGGTTGCCACGATTGTCTTGGTCTAATTCAATTGCTTCAAAGAGGGACTTGAAATTTCCAACTCCAAAACCCTGTCAATATTAAAAAGAAAAATATTGGAGGTAATTTAATTTACTTTTAAACATATATTTTGCAGAATCTAAAGAAAATATCTTTTTTTATTATTCTATTTCCTTGTAGTCTTAGCTACTTTGAATATTATTTTTTTAAGTTCTTGAAAAATGAAAAGGTGATAAGAAAAATACTCAACTTATGGTATGATGTTAGACATGAGTATATACTTTTCAGTATTTATAATTTTAATTTTTCACCTTTTGGTGGAATTTTGTTTTTCTTTTAATGTTAGAGATTACAAAAGTAATATTAATTATCAAATTTATCATTTCCTTTTACACACACACACACATAAATATTTAGGCAGCAAGTATTTATCCAAACAAGTTTGATTAAAAAAGACTGACAAGGTCTGTCTGTTTTCAATTTTTTATTGTATTTTTCCAATTTTTAAATAAGGTGTTGAGTATTGTGCTTAAAATTCTTTTGCCATTTTTTTTAATCAAATTTGTTTTTATATATATATATATATGCACCCTAATGCACAAACATCTCTAATCATGTATTAGAAAGATTTTCTTATCAAGTTAGAAACAGTTTGTTACAATGCTTCATTTTCAAAAGTTGATATATATGACTTTAACAAACTTAAGAATTAGCATTTTCCTGTTAAACCATAATTGCTTATGCTATTATAATGAAACAGTAGATTGATAAATTAGTATCGCCAACTTTGATTGCATTGAAAAGTTTTGTTTTTTGTTTGTTTACAATCCTTACAAAGAAAGAATACAAATGTTTTAATTTTGGTTCACTTGTCAGTTTTGAGAAATAAACAATGTTAAGATGACATAGATTCATTTCAGCTTACGCTTAGAAAGTCATGGCAGTTGCTGTCAAGAGTCACTCACAATGACCAAAAGCCAAAATAAATAATATACCTTCTGGCACTAAATGAATACAGGAAATGATTTGTAAGATTTTATAAATGATGAGATGGCAAAGACAGAAAAATACTAAAAGGAAAATCATTTTAATAAAAATGTAGATGATCTCTTATTGAAATTCTTGACTCCAAACTGAAGGCAAGTTTGGTTTATGATGATGGGCCAAAAAGTTCATAAACTGACTATAAAGGAGTGATGCTAAAGCTACGAAATCTTGCATGCCTTAATTTCAACTTTTCTTATTAATAATTGTTTTTTTCCAGGTAAACTGACATCTGACTGTTCAAAAAAGACTGCAAAAATAACTAGTTGTGACTTTTCTTGAAAATGGACAAAACTTGGCATCATAGTGTTAACAAGCAGAAAATGGGTTTAGCCCCATGGACATTCAGCTGATATTGTTGCTCCATTAGGGATGATACTCCACTTTTATCAACAGTGCAAAAGTGGGCAGCTAAATTTAAAAGGGGAAGATGACCCAAGGTCTGGATGTCCTTCATTTGCCATCACTGATGAAAACATATTAATATTCATCACATGGGGATCGATGGCAGGTGATTAACTATAAATCAAAGGGCTAATTCTATTAGCACACCCTGTGAAAGAGCTGAAAATATTCTACACAATGAACTTAGTATAACAAAGGTTTCTGCTTGGTAGGTTCCACATCCTCTGATACCTGATTGAAAGCACACCAGATGAAGCACATCGCAATAAATCTGACATTATTTGAGGCAGATACAGCTGGTTTCTTTGAAAGTTTCCTAACCCAAGATGAGTTTTGGGTTCATCACTTTTTGCCAGAGACAATCCATGCAGTGGAAACACCCCTTCTCACATGCTCCAAAGAAGGCCAAGCTCATTTTATCTGCAGAGAAGTTGATGGCTTCAGTTTTTGGATGCAAAAGGCATTATTTATTGACTATCTTCAAAAGGGCTACACCATCAATGGAGAGTACTATGCTAATTTGCTGAGGCTACTAAGACCAAATGTCCAGGAAAACTGACAAAAGGTGTCTTGTTTCATCAGGACAATGCTCCAGCACATGTCCTTGTTTTCAATGGCTGCTGCATGATTGTGGTTTTGAACTGGTTGATCACCATCCTTATTCTCCTGACTATTCTTTGACTATCATCTGTTTCCCAACATCTTAGCTGGGAATGTCATATCTGTTGTTGATGACTTTTTGTCCAACTGGATGAACAATCATCTTTGAACAGTCAGATGCCAGATTACTTGGAAATAAACAATGCAGTTATTAATAGAAAGAGTTTAAATGAATGCAAGAAAATTTCATGGCTCTAGCATCATTTCTTCATAGTCAACCTATGAACTTTTCCACCTACTCTTGTACAATAGATCAAGTTGTACTTTGGTTAAATTTGTCTTATAAGGCATTACTAAAGTAAGAGATTTTTTATAAAATGATCAGTAAGCACTTACATTGTGGTTGTGCCGTTGAATGAACTCCAGAAACACAGTTGGTCTGTCTTGCAAGGGTTTGCTAAAGATTTGTAGAAGGTAACCTTCATCATCATAATCTATAAGAATCTTTAGCTTTTGTAGCTGCAAACAAAGATTCATAAAGTTAATTAATCATAACTAACAAATGAGATTATATGCAAAAAATTATTAAGTTTGAGGCACAGTGGAGTAATGGATCCCAGCTTGAATTGAGGAATCAGAGAGTTGAGTTCAGATACCAATTGAATTCATTTCATTCACTTATATGGGAAAAGTTATGAATCCATCTCTTCTCCCTCTAGTTATAGGTAACTAGCAGGACAGAGTGGATCCTATAACGTTGCATGGCAATTGTTCTAGATGGAAATTTCTGAATTCAAACCAGAGGGTTGGGCTCCATCAAACTATCTTGCCTGAGATACACCACTTTTTCTGTGGCTGTGGTTCCCCTACAACTCTGATGAGTTATGAAACTTGTGATCATGAATTTCCAAAAAGGACCTGGTTTCTTCAGATTTTGCTGCAGGCATGAGAGTATGTCTTTGATCATATCCCTTTATCAGCAGTGGCTAGATGCTGTCTGAGAGACAGATCTCCATTCTTCAAGTTTATTTGGGATACCTTACTTTTCTGAGAACAAAAGCAAGACCAACCCATTTATTCAGCCAGTTTTAACATCTGAGTTAGACTAACAGCAGAAATTAATCTACTTACAGTATCCATGTCTTCAGTGATGGCAATTTTGGAGTGTCGCAATCTTTCTTTCAGATTTGTATAGTATTTATCAGGAATGTCCAGAAATTTGACACCCCTGTCAATTAGATGGCTCACCTGAAATATAAAGAAAAAATTAGGCTATTGATGGCCATGAGTAAGTGCAAAATATTTGTGATTGTTTCTTTTTCATTGTTTTTGTTAACTTTAATCAGAAAAAATGGCAGGAACAAAAAGAGAAGAGAAAAACAAAAGAATGCAAAGGGAATAGGAAAAAGAAGAAATGAAGGATGATAAGAAAAATACACGATTACTTGAAGATTATGAGAATAGAAGAGATTAACAAAGTAGAAAATGGCAAGGAGATTAAGGAGAAACAAAAATAAGAAAGAAATTAAAATAACAAAGTGAAGCTAATGAACAAAGACTAAATAATCCAATAAGCAAAATATTTGTCAGGTGTTGAAAGAACAAAATGTTTTAGATTGAAATTCTTTGGCATGACTGTGAAACTGCCAACTATTGTGTATTGTGCAAAGGTAACTTAAAACTGACCAAAGCAGAAACATTCAAAAATTGTATGTATTATTTGACTTTTTATTGCTTCTTATGAATTTTCTAAGCAGGTGGTTTTATTCTGACTCATATTCTCACATATCTGAATGAAAGAAAGAAATAGATACAGAAAAACAAAAACAAAAATTGAGAGAAAGTTAATCCTAGATAGAATATAATAATGAATAATGTCATGTTGAAATATCTTAAATATTGTAATTTCATGAAAATTATCTGTTCTAATTTACATCTAATACATTCCTTTGATTTTTCTTTTTTGTTATTATGAATCAAGAATTTTCAAATGGAATCAGAAATAAAAAGGTCAATCAATTGGCCATTGATGGCAGCAGTAGTAAATAAGGCTAGTATTTATGTGGCTAGAAGGCAAAAAAAATGCTAAAATTAAAAACCAAAGTTCAGGAAATTTTGCATTGTACATGTGACTAACATTGTCAACAATTTTTCTCCATTTAAAACATCTGATAATGTATTTGTTTTTAGATGTTATTGAAATGTAACAAAATCTAGCTAGACAGACTATAACTTTAGACATTTTTCATTGATATTTAATGTCATTATTTTAAAAAGATTGTTAATGTTAAAATTTTTCAATGTAGTGTGTCTGTATTCTCCATTTTATTTTGTCTAGACAAAAGAAGGTAAAATAATGTACAAAGAATGAAAATTATTTACCGATTTGATGATATCATCTGTGTTTAAAGCAATGTGCTGGACACCAGCCCCTCCATAATAATCAACGTATTCCTACAATAAAAATTGAGAAGTTTTTTTTTATGAGGGAGTGTACACAAGAAACAAGCACACACAAAGTTTAATGTATGATTAATAAGTTGGTGTAGTACATTTAATTCTTAGAGTGCTCTTCTGTTAAGACCTTTTGCCAAACAGTAAATATCTATACACACTTGGATCTCTCTTTTCTGAGTTGTGGACTAGTCACTTGTCAGTATTCAAGCCTAATTAAAAGCCAGAATCTCAGATGTTGATTTTCAAGACAGACAGGCTTTCTATATATATATAATTTCACCTCAAGCAAGGCAATAAAGCCACTGAGATGCAAGGTGTTACTGAGTGTGAAAGAATATAAGAGGAAAACATTATTAAAGCAGGAACAATAAAAGAACAGGAATTAAGCAAACAGCAGATTTCTAATCTGTCCCTATTGAAATCCTGAAAATATCTCATTAAAGCAAAAATACATTTATTATAGCATATCTTTTTAGCCATGGTTAAAAGTTATTTTGCAGCAATTTTGACAAAAAAAAACTCGAATATACCATGGCATAAATTAATACATTATCTTTTAATGATTTGAAAAGATTCCAGACTGAAGATTATTGGAATAAAACATAAAAAATTATTTAGAAATGTTATTTCCTAATCTCATAAAAAATTAACACTTTTAATTAAATTTTATTTGTTTTCTACAAGATTACACTGACTACTATTATAAATTAATGAAGGAAATAATATTGCAAAAAAGTTTATCAAAGTATTAACTTTTTTTTAACAGGCAACTTAAAATATTCACCTGGATTTGACTTTTCCGTTTACCATCAGCTGGTTCATTAATCGGCATTTTGATAGTCTCATCATAATTGGTGACCACAATGGAACGCAAGGAGGAATATTCTGTATTAACCTGTTTATCATCTACTGACCAAAAACGATGGAACATTAAATTCTTTTCATACCTGAAACAAGATAAAAGGATTATTTAAAAATAAATCTAGAAATATATGCAGAATTAGATACCTGAAATCATGATTGGTACAAGTGAAGGTTTAACATTAATAACAATATTCTATAGTGGAAGAATTGTATTCGGTTGAAGCTACTGCCTTCAATCATTATTGTCAGATGTGAAAAACAAGGTTTAATTAAAAATAAAACTTCATTTTATTTCTGTAATAAAAATATAGAAATAAATTCAGTTTGACAAATTTCACCTCCTGATATGTAGTTTTGAACATTACAGGTAATTTAATACAGAAATACAATCTTGGGAAACAATCATAGCATGCAGAAGTTCCTGCAAATCTCTGTAAGAAACATGTAGAGGACTTTAATATAAAAACTAAATGATTTTCTGTAATAATAATAATAGCCACAAGCATAATGATTATTTCTTCTTTGTAGCTGTAATAGTAATTAAATTTTCACACAAATCAGAATTAGTAATTCTCACAGATCAAATGACAGCATTTTTCCTCAATACTCCAATTACCAGAATCATTATTTACATTCAGATTATTGTCTTCTTTGTTATAACAATGTATTGTTCATGGGTTATTATTGCATCTTGTTATCTATTCAGTACTGCTCAGTTATTGCTTGCCCGTTTTCTGTTAAGCCTGCACTATCCAGCCCATGGATTGAACTTAGAATTGCTATATCACCAAATTCATGATTCAACACTTTCATCCACTAGGCTATTATTGTTCTGTACAAGATGAGATGACCCTAAATATGGGCACATTTGACATAATCTTTTTTTGCTTATATTTAATCTGTGTGGATCAGAAAAGTGTGTGCTTATACTACTCATTATTTTAGATATTTTCATGAACACACATACCAGAGATGATTGTTGCTGAGGATCAAGTGAGAGCAAATCTTCTTAAATGGCTAAAGACTCTCATCAACCATGATCTCAACAGTCTAAACACTTCCTTGAATCTCAGATATCTGTAGGCTTTTGTGGTGATAATTCTCAGTAGGTCAATTATTAAGGGCACAGCTCTTGTTCTCCTGTTTCATAGCTTTATAAGTGACTTGTCATTTCCATTATTCCCCTATCTTTTGATATTCACTCTGAACTCTTCCATAAAGGAACAAGTAGTTTTCTGATGTGCTCAGTTACCATCTTGCTAGTTCAACATGGCATGCCTATTTAAAGAAAATTTGAATATTCTTTTCAAAAAATAAAAAAAAATTATTTTTACTTTTGGCACCCTACTTTCTACATAGGCAACAATAATCAACAAATAAACAGGCAATAAACAACAACAAATAAACAGGAAATAGTAAAGCACACACATTCACACAAAAAATATAGGATATAATAGAAGTATGTATGTATGTGTACTCACAGACCATAAGCTACATAATTTATATTGTATTAAATTCAACTGATATTTACTACATATTGATTTCTTTTTACTTCAGGAATGCAATGTATTTATGTGATATTGATATCACATTAAATTGTTACGAAATGAACATAAAAACACAATTTTTAACTTTGTGCATTATTATATAATATAAAAGAAATATTGCCATAATGATTATCTGGAATTATTTGTTCCCCGCTTTTGAATTGCTAATGACCACCATTATTGAGTTGCAGGTTCCGACTTCAGTAGAGAGATTATTATGTGAATAATCATGCTACATTATTTAGGAGATCATACAGGAATCTTCAAGAGAACAGATTATTGGTATTTTTATTAGATTTATTTGAAATTAATTAATAGAAAAAACAATTTCTATCCATATTTTTTTTTCTTTATAATAACACAAGCATTTATGAAACACTAATTAACATAGTAAATTAATACATTGAATTTTTTTTTCTTTTTGTTTCATTTGTCACCCTATCAGGTTATCTCAAAGTATTTTTACATAGGAAATATTTAACATACAATGGTTGGCAGAAATGTTCATAGGCTATGAAGGAGTGATGCTAGAGTTTACTAAATCTTGCATGCATTAATTTCAATTTTTCTTCTTAATAACTGCATTGTTTCTTTCCAGGTAAACTGATATATGACTGTTCAAAAAAGACTCCAAAAGTAACTAGTCATGACTTCTCTTGAAAATGAACAAAATTTGACATTGTAGTGTTATCAAGTACCTGCAGAGAAAGGGCTTAGCCCCTAAGGACATTCATACTGATATGGCTGCTATATTAGGGGATGACGCTTCAGTTTTATCAACAATGCAAAAGTGGACAGCTGAATTTAGGAGGGAAGGGAGAGTCTTGAAGATGACTCAATGTCAAGATGTCCTTCAACTGCCATCACTGGGGAAAATATTGATTGGTGATGTATAATAGGTGATTGACTATAAATTAAACAGCCAATGCTATTAGCATATCCCATGAGAAGAGTTGAGAATATTCTGCACAATGAGCTTGGCATGACAAAAGTTTATGTTCAGTAAGCTCCATATTTTCTGATACCTGATCAAAAGTATACAAGGCAAAAAGTACATCATGGAAAATCTCAAAATTATTTGAGGCAGATCCAGCTGATTTCCTTGAACATTTAATAACCCAAAATGAGTGTTGGGTTCATGACTTTGTGCCAGAGACAATCCATGCAGTGGAAACACCCCTCTTCACCTGCTCCAAAGAAGGTGAAAGCTCATTTTATTAGATCATCAAAATGCTGAAGTAAGGCAGCAGCACTATATCCAAGGAGACCAAAACATCTTTCTTTATATAATGCAACCTTTTTCTTTTTACCAGCTTTATTCACTACATCATCAAATTCCTCATAGATTGATGTTTTATGACCATCATTTTGGTGAAGATTTGTTGGTGAATATCGATGTTATTTGGAATACATTGTCATTTTTAGTGATTTTGGTGGTGGGGTGGGGCAGATCCGGGCATTTGTAACTCATTACAAATTCCTTTTCTTCACTTACTGATAATAATTCAACTTTTTTACATGCATTATTTTACATGTGTGATAAAGACAAGCATATTAAGTTCTATTGTCTATAAATTTGGGATGTTAGTTTTACATGAGATTTTGTTTTTTTTTTCTAATGTTTGAAATGACTTAATCTTTTCTCCACCAAATATGGAAATATGACTCGCTGTCCTTCAGTACAAATTATATGCCCAGAGTAAAATGTTAAAGCCAAATTTAATTAGCAACATGATACTTCAACTTACCATTCTGTTACATTCAACATACAATCACGAGGCTGGTTTCCCACAATGTGGTCAATGAATTTGAGATCCACTTCTGGTCTGCAAAAAGAATTAAAACATACTATTCTGAAAATTTTTAATTTTCTCAATTTATCAATTTAATGCAAGAGCATTTTACTTTATTTTAAAAAGAAATTAAGATTTTTCTTTTTTCTTTTTTTTTTTTTTGCAAAATGTAAATTACTGTTAAAGCAAATTTAATTATCAGTATATAAAGTCAAACATTGTTTTTGTATGCTTTTTATTGCTTATTATTCAACACCAAAATAGCATACCAACATCTCAAATAATTCTAAAATAGAACTTTAATTTTAGAATGTTCAAATTAAACAGAGATCTTAATATTTTTTGTCTCTCCAAAATTTTGCTAGCAATGAGTTTTTGTTAAGTTACCATTTGTAATTTTGAGAAGAGTTATTAGAGAAACTTTACATCAGAAGCAGTCGCAAAAAAAACCCCTTCAAATTTTAGCCTAATTCACACACACACACACACACATACACACATATATATGGGAGGCACAGTGGAGTAGTGGTGGATAGCAGCTTGGATTGAGGAATTGGAGAGCCTTGTTTGAATTCCAGTCAAATCCATTACATTCACTTCCATACCTTTGGGAAAGGTATTAATCCTCTTCTTTTCTCTCTAGCTATGAGTAAATAGCAGAACTGACTGGGTTCTGGATGTTAACATTAAAAGGACAATTCAAAACCTGTGAAAGGTCATTTGAGGACCTTGTGGCACATAGTGCAGCTGGTCTCTGTATTCGGTCCTTCAAAAAGTGTGGTTGGTTCTGCACAAAACCTTCACCACAATAATCAAATCATATGTGTTGGTGTCTGGGTTGTCGGTTCCTAGGAACTGAGCTGCTTGACCCTCATACATCAAATATGACGGAAGAGTCCATACACACACTATATATATATATATATATATATATATAAAAATTACAAGATCAGCCAATTCAGCCTTTTGGTATATTCAGATAATTTTGGCCAGTTGATTTCCTAATAATTTATTTAAAATTTAATGAATGCTATATTATTTAAAAATAAGTAAATAAGTGCATGACATGAATTGTGGTAGAACGGGAGGAGGAGAAAATATATTTCCAATGCACTTGCTTTTCTCCTCCCCTTCTCCTCACATCATGCGCTTATATATTTATTTTTAAATTTTGTTTCATTCTCTTTGCAGTAATGCTCTTGGAGAAAACATGAATTCATCTTCATAGGTGGCTATGGGTCAAATAACAGAGTAGATTAGGCTCTCCTTTCTTAAGTAGCAATCAATCTAAAAGGAAAACTCAATTCAAACCTACAGTTATTTATAATGCATGCTACAGAACAAAGTATGGCGTACAGATTTGTGAGAATATGATCATTTTTATCAATTAGTTTGTATCCAGGTAAGAATGGTCCATTATATTTGCTTCGATCGATGAAAGTGTGTGTTGTGTCACCGTATGTCTTTATGGTTGCAAATTTTACTGTGCCATAATCATCTGTTTCTTCCCAGGGTTTACGCACCATGATTGCGCCACGAGTTACAGCTCTCTGCAAAGACAACATAGTCCATTAGTGAGAAGGTTCTACTCTAGTCCCTGACCAATTGGTAGGAAAAATGATCAAAGTTGAAAATAGTACTTTTGACTGTTTTTGAGAATCTCTTATAAAAAGCAAAAATGTGCCTTGTTTAGAAATGTTATGGTGATTTTCAATTATTTCCAATTACTCTATTTTCACACACTGAAGGATTACTCAGAATAGTAAATATACTTGATCTTCAACTGCAAAAAAGTGCATGGGATTTTACAAGATTTCAGTATTTATTCCTAATATCCTGAAAACACTTTGTCTGAGAATTATACAGTTAAGCATTCAAATACTGACAAAACAAAGCACAATTTCTTCTTGTAAATTAATTTTTTCAGAGTTGCTCAAAAATGTTTGACAGATTAATTTTTTAGTTAATGTTAAATATTTCTGCTTTAGTAAATCTAGATACAAATGTATTCAATAATTATTGTCATTGAATGTTTAGGCAAGTAATATAAAAACATGTGCAAGAATTTACAAATCAATGTTCTTAAGTTCATTGAAACAATAATTCTGAGCAAAAGAAACAAAAATAAATGAACAATAACGAGAATTGTGAACTTAATTTGAGCTCAGAATAAATCCCTCTTGCACCTAGACTTTATGAATTTAAGCATCATACTACTTTGGTCACAATGTCTCCTAATTTTACAATTGAAATGGCTGCTAGATGTAGCCATAAGTTCTATTCTAACAGTTTCTTCTATCGCACTTTTCACTTGTGGAACTTTCTTCCAGCTCTCTGCTTCACAATCGACTTTGCATTTAAGTTTTTGAAGATCAATGTCAATCATTATCTTCTGTCTTAATTCTTGTTCTTTTATTGTCTTCTCTCCTTATATTTTCTCATATTCTCTAGTAACACTCAGTAACCCCTTGTGCAGCATTATTGCCTTGCTGGGGGTGAAATGACTAAAAAAAATACTTTTTCCAAAGCAAATTTTCCCAACAGGCTTGAGACTTGAAGCATAGTTTTTTCCCTATGACTAACAAGTTCTTCAACTCAAAACAAAAAAAAAATGGAAAAAAAAAACCTTTTTATACTGTCTCTATCTCTCAACATTGGTAATGGATTTTATTGTGACTCAGGTTGTTTCTCACCCACTGAAATTTAGTGCTAAGTAATTTACCGAATAAATGGTCCTGTTCAGATCTTTTGTAAATATTCTTGAAAAAATCAATTAGTTATTTTTCTATTGCAACTGATGGGTAAGTTTTGTGCCATTTTGTCTACTCTATAAGAGCACATAATCTGAATACAATATGACCTTGTGTTAGACAAAGAAGAAACTATTATATTTATACTTAAAATGCATTAATCTGATCTCACTTACTTTAAATATAGCATCCAGATCTTCCACATGAAATGCAATATCTTTTACTCCATCTCCATGCTTGATCAAATGTTCACCCATCTCTGTAGATCAAACCCAGAAGTAATAAATGTATGGTTAGAAGGATAATTGGAAACTCCACAGTACTTTTTGCTATTTTGGAAAAAAAAAAACTGGTTTAAAAAAATACATAGCAAAAGAAATTCATTTACTAATTCATTTATGAATATACACTTAGTGAAAGCAAACCCAACATCACCACAGTCAAAATTTTTTCTGAAAAGCAATCCTCTTCTGCCTACATGTGGTTATACTCTGTTGCAATTAGATCTCCTTCTGATTCACACTACATGTCGGCTGAATGTGAATGCTAAGAAAGCAAAACACAAAATTAAAGAAGTTATTTTCTGCACAGGGGCTCCAAGCATCATATCCAATCCACAAAACAAATCCCCACAATAAAATATAATAGCCAATCTGTATGGTTCCCACTGGTAAAAAAGATGACCTTGAGGACCACATGAATTACTTAAATGAAAGCCCCTTGTAACAGCCAAAACAGTTGTGGGCGCATTTTCACTGTCATGATTGCTTCTCTCATCACAGCTGTCACTTCACCCAAGCTTCACTAATCTCATTCAACTCTTCACATGTATAATGCAGTCAAACAACCAGCTTCGACACTGCCAGGCTCCTGACACCACCACTGTGATTTCTAATACCACAACATCTTCACTATTCAGCTCCAGGCTTCCCTTGTTGTCACCACCATGACTCTGTCTTGTTGATACCACATTTGACCAGAATCTAACAGAGACATCCTGCTCAATCAATCTTCACTATCCAATTCCAGGCCTCCCTCATCATCACTACCATGACCCCATTCATTGATCTCCGATTCAACCAAAATCCAGCAGAGACCTTTTGCTTGATCAATGTTCACTATTAACACCTAATCCCTCATCACTACCACTGTATCAATTTAGTCATCATCAGTGACCACTGTATCAATTTAGTCATCATCAATGACTATAGGCCTGTCAAAATATTCAGTCTTCCAGATTTAAATTTCCACTTTTGAACCTAGCAAGCAACTTATGATCAACTATGGCACTATCTTTATAAATGACATATATCTTTTTTGTTGCTTGTACAGCATTTTTTATCTTTCCGGGAATAAAATCACATCAAATGACAAAAATTAACCCTATTTTCCTCCATTTTCACTTTTAACGTAAAAACATTTAAAACTCACAATCCACACACAAATCATACAGAAAGGCACATTCAAATGTCATCTTTCAGAATATGTCTATATATCATACATTTCAGTCAGGTGTAAAACAAAATCAATATTCAAACACAACATATTGAAAATTATTACAAACTTTTGATCCAACCCAATATTTCAACACCAACAAAAGTTTAGCATTGAGTTTTATTGTTTTCTTTCAAAAATTTTAATTTTCCTATCTGAAATGGCCACAAGTTTGTACAGTTCAGAAATATACAGAAAAGTCTCCACATAAAAAAAAATTGTTGAGCATTTTTACAGTAAGTTTTTACAAATAACATTTTTTTTTTCTTTTTTTTTTTTTGAAAATAACTTAATAATGATATCAAATGATTTGCTACTTATTTTTATAAATTATTTTGAATACACTTCTGTAACTAAAATCTTTAACCAAACATTTACATAGCTAAGATTAGCCAACACATTTCTGAAATCAAAAGCAACATAGTAATGTTCATTACATTTCAAGAATAGATTATATTCCATATTAAATTCAAGCATTATTACTCTTTGTAATTCATAAGGGATAAAAATGGACTGAAAACAAGTTAATTCATATCTGAATTAGTCTCTTACCTGCCGGATTGTTTGGCTCCAACATGGACTGAAGCACAAAAATAATCTGAAAGCAAAATACAGTAATTCTGGTTAGTTCACCAGATTGGTAAGATTTTTTTATGCAGTCTTTATTGCTTAAATAAAATAAAAACATAGAAGAAATTTCCAGCATTTTTCCCCAGTTATCAATTTCTGTCAAAGTTTTTGCAACTCCTAAATTCCTTTGTGCTTAATTACATTGATTTCAAATGGAACACTTGCTATAGAATTTTAATGTTTTTGTTATTCTAAAAGCTTTGGTCATTCAGAAAGTTGTTCAACTAATGGAAACATTAATAATAAGAGGGCACTAATTAAACATGTAAGTTGATTGCAACAGATCTCTATTCAACCACAAAACTTTTACATAATAATCCATGAAGTGGTTTAGTTTGGTTTGTTTTGCTTTATGGCATGTCAACCTCAATGGTTTATTTAATGCCGACATGATTTTTACTGCTGGTAATATTTTCTCAAAAATCGTATTGCTGGTAATATTTGTTTTTCAAATATGTATTGCTGGAAATAATTTTTTTTCTTCAAAAATTCATTGCTCTTAATAAAACTTATTTCTACACTTTCACAGTGTTTTGATCCCACCTTGGAGGCCAACTATTTGCCCATAGCTGGGACCCTAACAGGTGCTACCACCCCAAGTCAGGGTAAACCTGGAAACACCCGCAATTAAGAGGTGGTTCTGCGCTCCTCAAAACCTCTTGATCAGAGGCCTTTATCATCTTACCCAGGACACAAGAGGTTTGGTATTGTCATGCAAGGGATAATCTGTTTAAAAGTAGAAATGCCCAAAACATATTATAAAAACAAATGTCTTATGATTTCAAATTTCATTCTCAATACAGTCTCCTTCCTTCTCCATTGTGTTATTCCATTTTTGAATGAGGACATATATATCTGCCTCATGAAAGCTTCTTAGTTTCTTTCTTAATTGTCTTCAAGAGAACTGCTGTCTTCTGAGTGTCTCCATCATGACTCCAAGCAGATAAAAAGCTAGGAATGCCAGGTCAAGACAGTAGGGTGGATGTGGCAAGGTTGTCGAGCCATAGCTTGTGATTGTTTGTCTGGTCTTTTACTCATTTTCAAATTTGGTCTAGTTTGTATAAACCTTACACTAAGTTTTGATAATGGGCTTATATCGGAGTCAACATTTTAACAGTGGTTGCCATTGGGTATAAACTCAAACATTATTACTCCCTTCTGGTCTCAAACTACAATGGCTGTCACTTTCTCTTGCTACCTTAAATTGGGTGAGTCTAACTGGATGGCACCATTTTCTTTTGGCTCATAGTGGTGAACCCAGGTTTCATCTGACCATCCTGCTAAGGAAGGTTTACTGTATGTTGTGCAGCAGCTTCAGCATTCTGGAAAACCAAATTGCACCAACATTTGAGTAGATATGAGACTGCATTCATTAACATAGCTGATTGCTTTCACAGAGTTATGCAGTATTCTATCAGCTGTAATGGGAACGTTAGCCTTTTTGGCCTAATCCTCATTCACAACAACTGCTATCCTACTACTGTGGGGCTTGTCACTAAGGACAGTTTCTTGTCTCTCTCTAGAATTGTCATTAACTTTATTTATATCCTTACTGGATTCTACCACTTCACTCGAAACGACTGGCATCATAACTCATTGGACTATGCTACACTTTGGCAATTCCCCAGGGTCCAATTAGTGACACATGAGACCAGGTGAAATGTTGTGTACAGTTTCATGGTATTAACAAAAGAACCCTAGTAGATTTGCTACCATATCCTATAGAAGCTACAGATTGCTGAACTGACTTGCTGGATATGCATCTGGCACCTCCTGCATTGAATGTGGATGTGATTTGAGCCAGTAACTTATCACAGAGAATTCTAGCCAGATGCTTCTGGTCACGATAATTAAGTACCCGTAGTCATTCACTGTGGTATTCATGATGGGGGTAATGCCTATTATCAGGTATTCCCGATACTTGTGTGACGCAGATAGACAAATATCTCTACAATTTCAGAACTGGAATATTTGTCTGACACACAGTAAAATGATCTATTTGAACTCATAATCTACATTGCTTTACTTTGAACAGCCTAGTCAATGTTCACATTGATTTGCCAGATGTTCCGTGGACAACTGATATAGGTTTGCGCTTTTCCATGACGTCAATGTACATTGCACCACCTACAATTGCTTTTACATGCTGCTATCCCATGATCTTTGGTATGTCAATGTATATACGATTTAATACCACGAAAATGTGATTGATTTTGTAGATATTGATATTTATTCACTCTGAATTTCATACGAACAAACATAAATATTAAGTTAAGCAGAACAAATTGTTTCTAAATTAAATATTAGTGCGTTATAGTTTGATACCTACAAGTAAAATTGAAGTACAAAACAAACAAAAAAAAGTAAAAATATTCACCTTCACTCTGTGGCGTATTACGGCAGATGTTAGTATATGTTGAAATGATTATAACATTTTTATAGCAGCTTTTCTAACATTATTACTTTTTGTAATACAATACTTTGAAACTGATTTTGATGCCCTAATCATTAGGATGATGCATATTTTTCCCGATAACAATGTTATACTGTGTTATTATAATTCCTCTCCAAAAATGCATTGATAAGTCATGAAATATTAATAGTATTTTCTCTATCCTAGTCATCCGGTACTTATTGGGGAAAATTCAGTAATTAAGGGTGGGAGGAAGACAAAGGGTCACTAAGCAATCAAGAAATATCATGAATAAAATGAAAGAGTAGTAAGGAGACAGGAAAAATGACAAAAGGACTGGGGGATATAAATGATTATATGTAAAACCAGTTAAATTAAGAATGTTTTTCATCACCTTGTCTTGTTTGACAGCATGAGCGGCTATTTTTCGGCTTTTCGTTTCCAGGCCTTTGTATGCGTACGGTTCAAATCCGAATCGGGTGCAATAATAAGATGCTGCCTACAAATCATCAAAACTTTTGACATTAAGAATTAATGTAAGAATTAACACTGAATTCATTGTTCACTCGACAGAAGTGCTATTCAAAATGGTTGATCTCGCAGACCAGCAAGTTTGTTTTTTTATGACTTTTTTTTTTTTTTTTTTTTTGGAAATGTAGACCGGTAGCATATGTGTGCCAAATTATTGCTATATGATTAGTAATACCTTCATTAATTGAACATTTGTAGTTATTTTAATCTTTATCGGAAAGGATAATATATTTAAGTTAGCATTTTTTTTTACATTTATATTTATTTTGCAAAATAAATAAAATACAAAAACTTTTCAGAAAAAAATATGAAAAGCATATTAATAAGTTAATAAATGATAAATTATAAACTTAAAGTGAATTAAAAACAAGAAATATCAGCGTATTTCTCGTGAAGATTGTTCTGCTTCTTAGCAATCTAAACTAATCTCGGTTCAAATTAAGATACGCAAATGAAAATGGATATCCGCCGTATTTCTGTATTTTGTCTTAATATCATGGCTGAGAAGCCATTCTTACAGGAATATGTTGAAAGGAATAGTAATAATTAATTTTATCCAAAATTCACTAAGAGATATAATTTTGAAGCCGGCGCTGATAGTCATACCACACTTTGAGTAGCACTGCTCGAGAGGGATTTTAACTTTATGAAAATCGGAAATCGTTGTTTTAATAGTATCATTTCAAATATCTGTACAGTCAGATGAAATATTTCACAAATTACATTACGCTTACGGTTATACGTTGAAACACCGGTTCTCGTCCGATCACCGAAATTACGCAACATCAGTAATCATATATACATACATTCAGTCGTGGTACCAAATATACACTCCTAATCAGTTGCCGTGTAAAATTTTACATCTTATCCTCACTAGTACTAAATACCAAGTGAGGTGTAAAATTTTGTGAGTGTGGTTGTTTTTCCTCCGTCCTGATATCCTGTAATTTTTGACACATTCTTTTGTATATTTCAGCGCGTGGTTTTATGTTTACTGGAGATTTCCTCGAAAGGCAAAAATAAACGCCGATGTAAAAGTCACCAACAATTTAATTATCATAGGCTAACAAAAGGTTACAATCACTCTTGGTTGATTTCTAGTAAGATCGAGAAGGGTTAACTACTAGATTAGGCGTTTGTGTTGTGTTAGGAATTCTTTTGATTTGTAGAGAGAAGAATAGAAAGATACAGAGACTTTCGCAGCGAAAAATTCTCGGGCATCAATTTTGCGAAAATCTCGGCGTGCACTGCACTGCGTGGTCTCTGAAATACTTGCACGAACTAGGTAACCACCTGCATGCTTTTGTTATATAAATATCCATGAAAGGTGAAAGATACTGATGGATATTATCTCCAAATAAAAAAAAAAGAAAAGGACTTCCTATTAGCGACTTGTATGACTATACTTCTAAAAAGTATCAATGTGATTTTGACGGGTTATTATGCTAAAGAACTATTTTCCAAATTCGTCTGGGTTTTGCAGAATTTTACTAAACACATTAATCTTGTCACCATAACTTCCTTTTAGAGAAAATTCAGTTGTATTGTATTGTATTTTACTAGGTTTTGTGGTTTTGAGTTCAAATCCTACCGATGCAATTTTTCATAAGCAGCTTGTAAGTTCAGGCTAATATTTTTTAAATAGAACATTTTCCATCAGGTTCCAATCTTATTAAACTTCTTCTTCTACAAATTTTGCACTTGGCATTTTATTCCTTCACCTAGAATTTATAACTCTCTCAATATTTCAAGTCACTAATCCACGTTTTATGCATTATTATTTCTGCATCAGGGCCACTGCACTGTTACATTCAGATGGGTTGCCGCTAGGGAATACTAAGTGCTGTAAGCTAAGCTATACAATCTTACTACTTATACTAACAGATAAGTGGAGGTGCTTCTGGACTGACAAGTCACAAGATCTACTTGTATTTGTGGGGTTGAGTGTTCTGTATGAATTTACAAATGATAATGCATCCGGACAAGATATAGAGGAATTCAACTTCAAGAGGAGTCAATCTTTCAACTCTGGAATAAAAAAAAAATAAATGTAAGAAATAACTTTTTTATTTACCCTTTTTTTGAGTTATCAGTGACGTCAGTAATATGAATGACAATAATTGTTCCATCTTGCAAATTTATCGAAGCGATTTCAAAACAAGAAGAAGCTCATCCCGGCCCTCTTTCTGCTTGCTATAGATCAAAATCCTAGAATCTGGTTCCAGGACCCGGTCGGATTAAAAATTTCATTGGATTATAATTGGTCATAAGTTAAGATTATACAGTAACAATTCAATAAAACATTTGTGTGTGTGTGTGTGTCTTTCACTCTTGGCCAGCTCTTTAACAGAAAAAGAAATAGTAAATCGCCATTAAAAGGGAGTCGATTTTAGATCATGTACGAAATTAAGGAAAACAACAACGCGATCCCAAAAAAGGACTTAAACAGAATGTTCTGAAAAGTAGAAAAGACGCCGGGATAAGAGACGCGAAGTCCCAATGAAGTACTTGGAAGGGACTAAGGCGTCATTGTCCTAAGGTGACTATTTCTTCGTTAATATTAAATATCTGTATGCTTTCTGGACATCATATGTGTGACTAAACATGTGTATCAACTGCTCCACAAAGAAGCAATTCGTATGCACATATATATAAGAGAGAGAGAGAGAGATACATTTTACAAAGTGACTTACTTGTTTTGCATTGCCAACCCACCAGGTGAGATGCGCAAAAGATACGAAACGTCCGCACTCAGGCTGTGAAAAGAAAAAAGTAACTCTTAAAAAAAAAAACAACTTTTAATATTCTTGTTTAAAAAGCACAGAAAATGAAGTTTTGTAATAAATCATTACAAAACTTCATTTTCTATGCTTTCTGATCTGGTGTCAGATAACTTCACTCCACCTCCAAACTTACGATTACGAGTTATCGAGTTACACTTTAACAGTTTCAAGTGATGCACACATATTCACATCACTCTGTAGGTTGACTTTGTTTAAAAGGGAAAATATATACTACAACAGACATTTGATAATAAATTATAAAGAAAAATCAGTACATTTAAATAAAACTGTATATATGTTCAAAAAATGTAATTATTCAGTAAAATCGTTTTCATCTTGAAGGGTGGCCTCAATGCGGCCTTGAAAACGACTGGATTATGTGCTTCTTGTTCATCTTAGCAATTTATTCATAACATTTTGGTACTGCGGTATTACTAGTTGGATTCCTTGATGACGTGCCAAAAGAATGAAACTTGAAAACTTTGAGAGTTATTTGTCACATTTGTTATCGGTCACCTGCGCTATATGGGGAAGCTCTACTGGCTCACGTAAGGCCATCATCGATTCGGGGATTGATATCTATGTCCAGCACTTCGATGAGGCCCTGCAAGAAAAATGGGGCAGTATGACATGTCTTCGCATCACAGAGGAGGGTTATCAAAGACGACATGAAATTAGTGTCAGTCACTGGGAGTAATTCTACGGGGTCTGCGCAGGGCTGCCTGTTGTTCTTCCAGTACGCCTTTTAGTCGAGGTTGAAGTTCTTCTCATAGGTGTACGCTGTGATCATAATGTTACATGATTGTCTTCAGCAAGCATTTTGGTCTTATAATATGGTTCACCCAGTCTTGTCCAACAGAAACGGTCCTTTCGTCATCTCGTTGGATTTGTACCTGATATACTCCTCCACCATACGTCTTTGGAAAGTCCTCTGAAAATTGGGCTGTCCCCCAACTATCTCAAGATTCTGAGGTCCTTCTATGACGGTATGGAAGCCTGTATCAGTTTTGGCGGTATACTTACGGGACCCATCAAGGTTGAAAATGGAGTCAAGCAGGGAGATCTGGCTCCTACACTGTTTTCTATCTGCTTCACAACTTGATGCGTACGGGGACTGCAATGATGGCATTATGATAAGATGCAGGTACAAAATTTGCAACATATGTAGGTTTGCAGCAAAGACAAAAGTTTTTTTTTAGTTTAGTGCGCAACCTTCTCTATGCCGATGACTGTGACCTGGTCGCACACACAGTCGATAGTCGACTTGGGGTTGTAGACAAATTTGTATAACTTGGTAGCACCCTCAACCGCCATTGCTCTCTTGAGATAGCGTTACGCTTCCGATGCTTTTGCAGCACTCAATTTCTGGACTCAGAATGGCATAAAAAAAAGCTGACAAAAATTAAAATATATTATGCCTGCGTTATGTCATCTCTGCTATATTCATGTGAGACATGGGTAGTCTACCGCAGACATCTGAACATACTGGAACGTTTTCATTAACGATACCTTCAGTCTGCTTCAAATCAACTAGATGTCTCACACCCCTGACACTGTTGTTCTACAAATGGCCAATTCACTCTCTGTGGAAACAACTATGCACAAATTCAGATTTTGATAGACAAGCCATGTTATTCGTATGGCAGATGACAGAATGCCAAAACAATTAATGTATGAAGAATTGGAAATGGGGGAAAAGACAGCAGCACAAGCCAAAACTTCGTTACAAAGATTGCTTCAAAGAGTCACCATACAAGTGCAATATTTGTCTGGATAACTGGGATACTCTTGGAGAGCTGGTGTTGCTAATGGCGTCAAGATCTTCCATGCAGCATCACAAAAATATGTAGAACTATAGAGAGGGGTTCGGAAGGGATCCCTGAATTGCCATGAGGTGCCAACCTGGCCATTTGCCCAATGAAATCGGATATGTCTGTCCAAGGTAGATCTGCTCAGTCACCAGTAATCACACCAACACTAACTGTCTATTGCATATAACGATTTCGTAATGGCGTGCTTTGAATGTCTGACTTGCACTGGAGTGTGCAAGTCCTGGTCGGGCCTGACAAAGCATATAAAAAGACACATTGGAAGTGATGATGATCAAAGTCATCACCACCCGGAGATGATTTGATATGCCACATATATAACAAGAGATGCAGATCGATGGCTGGCTTTCTGAGCCACTGTCTTTCACATAACCAATGAATGCAGTGTTGTGGGGGTGGGTTAACTGATGGACTGGATGTGTCAGTGATGGTCATACTCGCTTTGTGAGTCGACAGCCATTATATATATGTATGTATGTATATATATATGTGTGTGTGTGTATATATATGTGTTTATATATATATGCATATACATTTGTATCTATATGAATATATATGTGTATTTATATATATAATGTGTGTATATGTGTGCATGTGTGTGTATATATATGTGTATATATATATATTTATATATATGTAGATATATATGTATAAGTATATATATTTAAACATATATTGTTAAATATAACAGACAATGAATGTCTGTTATGTCTGATGTGAAGATGACGGTCACGGAATAGCAGACGCGGTTCATAAGTTGCGGTTCTGTGACGTCATAGCACGCGAGAGGCCGAAATATTAGCAACAGAAATTGAGAACTTAAAGAACTCAATAATGTAAAACAGACACTAATTAACAATGGCTTCCCTAACCACCTTATAGAACACCAAATTAGACTATTTCTCCCCAAAGTAAATAACAACGATACTGAACACAGTCAAAAATATCATAAATATTTATAAATATAAAGAACCAAAAGCACATCAAACAAGATGAATCTTCACTTAGAAATATTATAAAGAAATACGCTACCCCAATTGACCCGAATAAAAAAATAAAATTATCTACCACAAAAAAAAAAAAAAAAAAAACAGCTAACCTTATCCTTAAATAACAATAAACCAGCAACATCAAAATTACAACGAATGACCATTATCTATGAGTTCTAATGCCCCTTAAGTATCTGTGTCCCTGATGAAACCGAATTCATAAATAATCACATCGGTTACACGACCACATGCCTATTCAGACGCTTTACGTTACACCTATCTGACCACAGCTATATTAGAATCCATTTAAATACACACACAAACTTACCAGACTCCATCCGAAGCATATTAAAAGAAAATATAAGCATAATAACCTCATCTACATGTAAAAAAAGATTAAAAATAATGGAAGCCTTAATAATAATAAAAAAGAAAAAGCTAACACTTAACTACGAAAACGGCCACAATGTGTTAACTGTGTTCGGAAAATAAAACATCTCTATAACACTAAAAATATACACACGACCCAGACACACAATTAAATTGAAAAAAAAAAACAACAAAATCATCCTTGATAATAGCTAAAAGTATTTCCAAAATCGTTAGGAATTATAGAACATTTGTTCGAACAGAAATAAAAATTAATTATGAAGCTTAATCGCAGTACCTTGTCTGTCGTTTTCACGAAACATGTATAAATAAAGGATTGCTGCCTAAATACACAATTATATATATGTTTATATATGTATGTATATATATATTTATGTGTATATATATATTTATATACATATATATTTATATATATGTATATGTGTATATATACACATGTATATTTACGTGTATAGGTATATATATATGTATGTGTATGTATATATATTGTTACGAGGATGCATTTCTATAATAAGGGATTCTACTAAGTTCCAAGTTTCAACCCTATTTGCCCTGTACTTCTCTATCGTTTTTAAACAGGTCTTTAAGAACTGCAACCTTGGTATTAACATTCGCTAATCGTTCAACAGGAAGGCTGTTTAACATCAGGCGGTTTGATGCAAAATCGAAGGTTCACTTGACGTTGATCGGGGATTTGCTATATGCTGATGACTGCGACTTTGTGGCTCACTTGGAAGGAGATATGCAGCATCTCATGGATGTTTTTTCTAATGCATGCACTGCACTGGAATTGACTATTAGTTTGAAAAAGATAGTAGTCATGTACCAACCAGCTCCAAGGAAGACATAATATCTCTGAAGGCTGTTTGAGCGTTTGTATATCTTGGAAGCACGTTGAACACATTCTGTGTTCTTGATGTGGAAATTTCAAACCGTATACAAAAAGTTAGCGACGCATTTGGAAAACTGAATAAACATCTGTAGTTTCATCACGGAAATTCATGAGTACAAAGCTAAAGGTCTAATGTGTGCTTACAGCACTTCTTTATGCTTGCGAGACGTGGGTAGTTTGTCGCAGATAAATAAAAAGGCTTGAGTACTGCTTAAGACGTATCTTTAGCATTACCTGGCAAATGTTTTTTAGTTATGTAGACGTGCTAGATAGGAGCGGCTGTGATAGTATTGAGTCCTTGATACTAAAACACCAACTTCGGGAGGTAGGCCACCTCGTCAGAATGGATGACAGCCGTATTCCAAAGTAGTTGTTTGATGGTGAGCTACGAACAGAGAAGAGAAATGTCGTCAAAGCTAAGATGCACTTTATGGAATGCATCAAGGATGCGCTGAAGAAATGCAACATTCCTTGTTAGCACTTGGGAAGAATGTGCATCTGATTGCAATAATTGGAATGAGACTGCTTGGAGTGGAAGATGTCACTTTGAGGAGGAGAAGAGGAGGCACGCAAGGCTTATAAGAGATGTCCGTAAAGGAACTTCCTGAAGACACACGCAGGCAGCTCGATCTGGCGTGTACAGATTGTGGTAGAGTGTTTCTCTATGGCTTGTCAAAGGAGTCACGTGAGAGCACACTATAAATCCGTAAACGTCCAGCAACTGAAATGTGATATTTGCGGTAAGACATGCGCGTCCAGAAACGGTTTCATGCGACATTTTAAATTGCATGATAATGTAACACCCGCTGTTGCACCTATTAAGTGCTCTGTTTGTGCCAGAGTATGTAGGTTCCTTGCTGGGCCACATTCGTT